GATGTTGGGAAAGAGTGAAGGCAAGAGGAGAAGGGGACGACCAAGGATGAGATGGCTGGACAGTGTCATCGAAGCTACCAACATGAATTTGACCAACTCCGGGAGGCAGTGGAAGACAGGAGGGCCTGGCGTGCTCTGGTCCATGGGGTCACAAAGAGTCAGATGTGACTTAACAACTAAACAACAACAAAAACATAATCTGTCATCCTTATCATTTCCTTCTTTTCCACTAAAGGAATAATCATTATATTAGGTGCTGCTGCTGCTGCTACTGCTGCTTCTTAATCAGAGGAATAGGAAGAGGCGATTTGCTGAGATTCAACTTCAGTGAGAGGCTGGAAAGAACATGTCATTTTCCTCTTCTGATCTAAATCATGCCACTGTCTTCTGCAGGTATATCTTCCAGCTGCTCATTCTTTTCCTGATCCCAGGGACTGTAATGATGATTGCATATGGCTTAATCTCCTTGGAGCTCTATAGAGGGATAAAATTTGATGTCAGTCAGAAGAAATCGTCAAGAGGTAATCTTTGTGATTGAACCTTTCTCTTTCTTTCACCTGTAATCACTTCAGATGTGGAAATGTGATCAGTACGAGTTATCTTTCTAAAAGTCCTCATCAGGACTTAAAGATCTTAAAATGATTTTGCAAATGTATCCTTCCTAATAATTTCCTAGGAAGATTGTAAAGAATGATGGCACCCATTGTTGATAACATGCACTATTACTGCTGTTGCTAGATACAGTGTTATCTAGTTGGACAATCATGCAGATTTTCTAGATATTTTTACCTATTTATAATATGAAATATTTGTGTGTTCTGTGCTCTCAAGTTGGAACCAACTTATAGCAACCCTAGTAGAGCTTTGAGGTTCTGTGAGATATTTTAAGGAATAGTATTACTATTTCCCCAGCCAGTTTCCATGACTGAGCAGGGGTTCAAACCCTGTTTTCCAGAGTCCTTGTCTGTCACTCTATCCACTACACCACACTGGAAAACATAATTGAAATACTTAGATACAAAATTACACTTGTATTCAGAAGAATAAATGATGGACAAGGATTTAAAAAAAAACATGCAAAACAATAGAAAGTTCTCCTACCTTTTTATAATGCAACTATGACTCATAAATATTAAAGGTTCTATTTTTATTTATTTATTTATTTATTCATTCATTTATTTATTTATTTATTTATTTATTCATTCATTCATTCATTCATTCATTCATTCATTCATGGTTCCCCATGGGGAGAGGTCATGCTAGGGAGCAAAAATGTATCAAATGACAGAAAGTTATGGTTTTCACAGTTGACAATGGAAGCTTCAGCAGGGCAGTTGTATTGGCAACGAGTGGCCACCTCCTGTGTCTTGCCCTTGGATCATGTGCTACAGCCCCATGATCCAGGAGAACAACTTCCTGGAGTATGGCCTGCCTCAAACTTCCACCTATCGCAACCCCTGTGGCTGTTCTTTTCACCACCATGACTTCTTCACCCTCTCCACTTCTCCCCTGGGTGCTGGTCTCTTCCTCTCCTCAGATGGCAGCACCCTTCCACAGATATTAGTCTTGGGTGGTGCCTCTCCAGATGTTGGTGGGTGGCAGTGGAGGAGAGATGTCTGGGGTTGGAGCCCCTGTGGGCCACAATGTGGCAGACATTGCAGCACACCAAGCACACCATGCGTGGGCCATCATGGACAGCAGTGAAATGGTCTGATAGGGAGCCTCTGCCATGTCTGAAACAACGATGCCCCACTGACTGCCCTTGTCTGCAGGGGAGAGGGTTTGCTTACATATAAAAGGAAAAATTAACTGGGCAGATCCCAGTAATAAAAGAGTATTTTTAAAAGAAAGGAGGATCCTCAGAGTTGAAAAAGTATCATAAACCACCCACTCTAACCCAGAACTGGAGCCAACCTAATAGGTAAATTTTGGGGAGGAAAAAATAAGGTTTTTTTAAATGGGGGGGGGAGGAATAAGAAAACTCTCTCAAATACCCCAGAATATCCACTCACAAAGTACCCACCACACACAAAACACACACAAACAGCCTCAAATTCACTAACTGAATGGAATAAAAGTCAGTAACTGGAAAATGAATAACAAAAAATAAGTATTTAAGTAAGGTAAGCTACTTAAACCAGAGGCAAGGGTGGGGGAAGACAGAGGGGAAAACCTCTTCTGAATAAAAACACATGCACAGTTCACCCACCCCAACACACACCTCAAGAAATAACTGGAAAAAATACTATATATGCTTGCCTAAAGAAAACCCTCCCCCAAGTATCACTATTTGAAATAATGAAACAAAAGTACAATAATGTGATTGCACTCAGCACAGAGAGAAAACTAACTGCTGGCTGGCTACTCAAAAAGCACACAGACACCAGCAACAGCCCAAAGCAAAACTCTAAGCAGAAGTGTAAAATGGCTGCAAGGAAACTGCTTATAAAGCCTCTTAAGAAGCAACTCCCCCAGAGCCCTTCAAGCTGCATGTTTGGCTACCTGACCTGCCAATCCAGGAGTCTCTAGGTCCCTCCCATGGTTGCCTAGAGCTTCTGATTAACAGGTGCAGGCTGCAGATGGCATGGGGGGGAAGTGGTATGAAGACAGGTAAATGAAGCCACAAATTGAAATCACAAAAAATTCATCACTCTGTATTTATTGGGGTTGCGTCTGACGAATACGAAATGACAAATTTCTGATGAATTCATGATTTTGGACAAATTTTGCAATTCATTTTTTCATTTGTGCCCATTTCTATGTAAAACCCAACTTGGCATCCATTGCTACATCCTGTGAGAATATATTTCGGTTTCACTAGAAACTATGTGAAGAAATATGTGTGTGTTTTATGCCTTTCTTGGATCTTCTACCATTCAGTTTTAGAGGATGAGTAACAAGGAAGGAAAAAAAGTGTGTTCCTATCCACTTTTATCACACCACGAGTAATTTTACACACCTCTATCATCTCACTTGATACCGCTTGAATTGTGTTCTAGAAAGCAGATACCCATCTTTTGTGGGCAAGTTTTTTTTAACCTCACACGCTGTAAATGTATGCTTTTGGGGGTGTCAGACTGAAGCTTCCTCTTTTAGTTTAGAAACAGATATGCCATAGTTGTTCAAAGTCAGAGAAACACCGCACTGTCCTGATTTCACAGACTTGTATGCAACGAGTCTTTTTGCCTGCATCAGCCTGTATCTCTTGACAGTCTTTTCCTGGGCTCTGTGCCCTAGTTAGGAAAGGATTGGGCAAATTTTGTTTGATGTTTATGTGATACCTGCTGTTTCTGTGTGTACAGAAAGGAAAGTGAGCATCAGCAGCAGCAAAGATGAAGATGGCGATGGATGCTACCTTCAAAAAAGCAAGAAGAAGACAAAGATGCCACTTCACCAACTATCAGAAAATAGCTGCAGCCCCAGAATTGACCGGCCTCGAAGCAGCTGCTCTGCTGCTAACTTGATGGCCAAGAAGCTGGTCATCCGAATGCTGATTGTGATTGTGATTTTGTTTTTCATTTGCTGGACTCCAGTCTTCAGTGTCAACACCTGGCGTGCCTTTGACGGTCCCTCAGCAACCTCCCTCCTCTCGGGAGCCCCCATCTCTTTCATTCATTTGCTTTCCTACACATCTGCCTGTGTGAATCCCATTATCTATTGCTTCATGAACAAGCGCTTCCGCATGGGTTTTCTGGCAACCTTCACCTGCTGCACCAAGCAAAAACTTCCAGCAGTTAGAGCAGAGATGGCAGAGGAAGAAGAAGGGAAAACCACCAGAGCCTCACTTTCCAGGTACTCATACACCCATGTAAATGCGCCAGCTCCTCCTCCATGAACACGTTACCAATAAAAGAGGAAATTTAATATGACCCCCCCCCCCGGCTAACATCTTGATGAGCTGAAGCTGTTGAATATACCTTTATACAAAACTACTTCAGTAAGATGGCAGGGAGGAGGTATGAATAGGAGATGAACTATTCAAGAATTTATCAAAGATCTCCCATCAGACAGAAACAGAGGTCATCTTTGACTCTCAGAGAAAACAAAAGGTTGCTCGGGTAGAAAAGGTCACTGTGGAGAATGCCCAGAGCTCAGAAACAGACACACACCTGCCCAAAACATTAGCAATTAACACCGGTAAATGGTCTTTCCCAGAATTAGATTAGCTCATATTTTCCTGTTCAAATCTGCTTGTTTTACTTGAGGTTCTTCAAAGCAAAGACCAATGCACAAATCAATGTTTGTACAGCTCTGTCCTACTACAAAAAAAATAAAATAAAAGGCAAACATCTATAAGACATATTTAAAAGTCAATAGGCTGTTTTCTTCTACAGCTAGTTTTCTTTCAGGCTCCAGTGCCTTGAAATTACAAATACTGAAAGATGTCTAGAGTTCCAGGGTAGATTTGAAGGGTAATAGTGCATTGAAGCAACAGCATGGATTTGTTTTATTTTATTGTTGATATTCTTGTTTGGGGAGTGAACATGTCACCCTCTTTGTCCCTGTGCATCGCCGCTGTTTGGTCTATGACAATTTCATTCACAGATTCAAAACCTAGGCACAGTTAAAGTAAAAGAGGAAATTGTCAATTTGTTTTGGGGGGGGCGGGGAGAGATTGACTAATTAACAATCCTGTTAGATCAGATCAAGGCTTCATTTACTCCTGTTTATAAATGTGTTTTGCTTTCAGGGAGCCTGGAAGCAGCATGTGAGTACAACAGCTTTTCCCCATTGGTCCTCCCCAAGCAATCACTCTTCAGAGGTTCCATTGAACTGTCATGGTTAATAACTGTTGATAGACTGTTCTCCATACATTTATCTAATCTCCTTTCAGAAACATCTTTAAAAGAAACATCTTTTTGAAAGAATGATTAGTCCATTAGGCATGGGAGGGCAATGATGTATTAAAATACATTTTTAATATCAGTAAGCTTTGGTGATAAATAGGAAAATTATGTCACACTTCTTTATCAAGAATTGCAAATTAACCACTCACAAGGAATTGTGTATTTAAAAAATGCAGTTAGGTTAGTAGAGTGCAGCAGGTCTATTGAAGTGAGGTGATGACTGTTAAGTAGGAGCAATCACTCTTGATGCCTGTGGAAAGCTTTCAAGAAAAAACAAACTTTCATTGTTGCAGTAAATCCATCCAGGATAAAATGGGGGTAAAAACCCAGGCTTAAGTGGAGAAGCTTGAACTGGCTTCTGTATATGAAACTGTGCAGGAGAGACTCCTGGGGGAGCCTTCTTGTTCTCTCTCCATCATAGGAGAAAGGAGGAATAGAAGAACAATCCTTTCCTTTAACAAAAAGGGGTGACACTGAACTAAGGAGGAAGCAATCAGTACAAAGGACAAGGACAAGACACCCAAAGTCTACCTAATCTTTCATTTCATTGCTCCCAACGATTACTTTTAATACAAATGTAGCTGCACTCATCTTCAACATGGAGAACCCCAGGCACTCTGACATTGAGTTGTATTAGAAAGAGACAGCTCTGCACTGTAGCGATGGCCTGCGATGATTGTGGGGGTACAACTGCTGTGGCTATCTCCTCTGGTGTCATCATCGTTTTCTGAGAAGAGGGACAGTAGTGCTCTCTGCCAAGCAGTGCTGCTGCTTCCACCAGGGTACCTACATTTTGGATAGGTGATGGCACCAAAACCTCTACATCTGTCTCTTTTTCCAGCAAGGTGCTGCTGGCAGTGCAGCCACCTCTTCCTTATGGGGCAGGCAAGAATGACCCCAGCTGCTTCCTCTGTTCCTCCTCCAATGAAGAAGGGATGCAGTGACAGCACTTGTTTAGGATAACACTTACTTTCCCCTTTAGGTAATAGGAGATCTTGGGCTGTCCCTGCAAACACACATCACTTCCATCTTAACTCTGAGCCCCAGCAGCCTTGATCAAGCAGCCCATTAAATGTTGTAACCCTTGGGCTGCCCAAGATATTTTGCTACCTGGAGCACAGCAGCAAATTATGCCTTCTCTTACACCAAACCAATTATTTTGACCCACACAATACAGAAAGATCCACAAGGATATCATCCCCTCTCTGACAACAAACCACAGTATAAATTAACAATGGGAAAAATCCTATTGTGTACTTGGCACTGAAACAACTTGGACTGTGTGCCAAAAGCATTCAGTTTGAAGTAATTTAGGTTCTGAGGCTCCCTGGGGCTCACTTTTGCCCCAGGGAAGACTTTGGGAGCCTTGGGATGGCAATGGGGGAGGCTTTAATAGTACAAAATTGTTCCCAATGGGATTGTTGGCAGTGATTTGGCTCCTACCACCATCACCATACCAGGGCTTCCAAAGGCTTCTCCAGAGCAAAAGGGAGGCCTACAGAGATTCAGAACCTAAAAGGGCGAATATAGGAATTACTTTAAATTAAACACATCTGGTGCCTGATCCAGGTCACACCAGTGCAAGGTTCGTTGTTTAGTCGTTTAGTCGTGTCCTTCACGCCAGTGCAAAGTTCGTCGTTTAGTTGTTTCCGACTCTTCGTGACCCCATGGACCAGAGCACGCCAGGCCCTCCTGTCTTCCAGTGCCTCCCGGAATTGTGTCAAATTCATTCTGGTAGCTTTGATGACACTGTCCAACCATCTCATCCTCTGTCATCCCCTTCTCCTCTTGCCTTCACATTTTTCCCTCTTGTTGCCCTTTTAAGAAATGCCAAATCAGCAGCCTCACTCTGCACAATATGAAATCTATCAATTAGCTGTGTTAGTTTGTTCCGTTGTGACAAAAGAGAGACCATAAGTCATGTCGCACTATCAGACTAAGGGTGGGACTACAGTGGAAAGCTGAATTGGAGTGATCTGGCTTTGCTGGGATTTAATTCATAGCCTGTAGTCCATTTGAAATTGCTGTCAGTGCTCACACAGGGGCTGTGGACTGAGTCAGGAGTTCACCACTCAGACTGAATGTGATGTGATTGGCATTCCAGCTCACATTCCCCTCTTCTTTCCTTTCTTCCCCTGGTCCCACCTCTGCTGATCTGACAGGGAATGGATGAGGGCATAAATACAAGAAATAATGATAATTAAAACCCACCAATAATTGATCTGACGGGGAATGGATGAGGGCATAAATACAATAAATAATGATAATTAAAACCCACCAATAATAGTGTGATCTAGTGCTAATTTCATATCTGTAAGAATTTTTTTAAAAAAATCAGAGGATGCTCAGCGGAGAGGAAAGAATGCAGAGGCATTGTCCCCCTGTCCTGAACATCATGCCCCAATTGGCTAAATCACTGAAACACTAGGGGAATGGATGAGGGCATAAATACAATAAATAATGATAATTAAAACCCACCAATAATAGTGTGATCTAGTGCTAATTTCATATCTGTAAGAATTTTTTTAAAAAAATCAGAGGATGCTCAGCGGAGAGGAAAGAATGCAGAGGCATTGTCCCCCTGTCCTGAACATCATGCCCCAATTGGCTAAATCACTGAAACACTACCTACAGACGTGTTGGAGTTTTTACAACCACATATGCTGCCTGTGGCTTGAGTGACTGGGACAGACATCTCTAGGCTGAGGTGACTGTCAATCTATCCAGCACTGACCACTTCTGCATTCAACAAATCCCTGCCTCTCTGCTGAATGTTGCCTTTCCCTCTTTTCAGTCTATTAAAGTCAGTCTGGTTGTTAGTTTGCTGTTGATCTGTTTACAACTGTAAGTAATGAAATGTTTTTATTCTTTCGCCTACAAATGTCTCAGAGTGAATTATTGAGAATATAAGTGCCAGTTAATGAGCTAAGGTTGGACTATTTAAGGAACTTAAAACTATTATCCTCTGTGGATCTCTGTCCTTCTTCTGGGTAGCCAAAAGAATTTTAGCAAGAAATTCAGAATTCTTCAACAAGACACCCCACCACCACCGTCTATACAAGAATGTATCACAATTAACCCCATGGGGAAAAGCTCATTCAAATTGTTCTGGCTTGAAAAAGTAGAAGCACAATTGTGGCAGAGGAAAAAAAGCTGCTTTGGAAGCAAAAAGGGCCTTTATGCCATGTGAACAGCAAGAAATATTTTAAATTCACTCAATTTTATTAATGGAGCAAATCCCACAGCATTTAACCATAAAGTCACAGCCTAACACGTTTTATTTTTCATAAGCTTTTGTGTGTCAAACCACACTTCTTTGGATGAGTAGAATAGTTTTGTCTCTGGAAAGAGTATAAAACTTTACGTTCTTTGGTGTAATGGTACAGCCAGCCTGAGTTACTTTTTTTGGCGGGGGGGGGTTAAACTTTAAAAATGCCACTAAAACATGTGAGGATGCTTTTTTCAGTAAAGAGCCTTTAAAAAGGGAGACAAAGTATGTCAGGGATAGATATGGCACAGGGGAAAATATGGCCCTCCCAGCTTGCCTAGGCTTCCGGCCTCTAGAGCTTAGCCATCCCTACTGCAGAGTCAGACACAGACTCTACTTTGTTTTTGTAACAGAGGTGAGCAATTGTGCCCTCTCAGTGTTTTTAAATTATAATTTCTTTAATTTCTTGGGTTGAAGAGAGAGGAAGCCGAGACCAAAAAGCATCCACTTTCTTGGGCTCTCCACACTGTCAGCAACCATGATGTAACTACTTCTGTACTTGAAATAATACAAGCTACAAGTAAAAAGACGGGGGCTCTGTCTTCGCATGGGTTCTTGCTGGCCCAAGGTGATTAAAGTGGAAGAGTTCCAGTTCTGTTTAACTGGCTTGCTTATGGGTGGGCAAGCTTCAGCCTAGAAATGCTATGGCCCACTAACAGCCTACAGGCTTTTTATGGCCGGGGAGAGCAATTTTATTTTGGCTCTGGTGACTCTACTAAA